GATATATCACTATTCACTGCGCTATTTATTTCACTGCTATNTAAACTAACTAAACTAGTGCAGGTGTACAGACTACATATAAATAAACTTGTGTTTATTTGTTAAGAGAGTACGAAGTAACCACACACTACATACTGAAATGTTCGTGAGTTTAACAAAATTAACTTCTAAGACTGACAACACTATTAAATTATTACTAAACTTAGCTTATGAATTATTCTATTTATTTACACTACTGTTGATATATCACTATTCACTGCGCTATTTATTTCACTGCTATCTCTGTCAATTTATTTCTGGATTCACTTCTGCAACGGTCAATTTATCTCTCCATCTCTCGGCGATCGTCTCTTCCTTTAAATACTATTTTGTTTACTTTCGGAAACCTTCTGGAAAATGTCCGTATAGTTTCTTTTTTCTTTTCGCAGAACGCAGGTACGCACACATTTACAAATACGACGCACATGAAGAAAGACCCCCGCGCTAGTCGACGAATCGATAAGCCGTTCACGCACACGTGTGCCCGATCGCACACAAACACACTCGTGCTTGCTACAATATGAAAACAGATATAAGAAAATGTATCTCAATGGCGATGAAGCTCGGCGAGAGGTGTACCTTCCTATACATTCAATATTGTAAATGGAAGGGTTGGAAAAAGTTAAACCTCTCAACGGTAGCCGTAGATATTGGTAGGTCGAACATGTTTCGACCAGACAGAGCAGATCGTGATCGAGAACTTATTCCGAGATGTTCGCGACGTTAAAAAAGCCGTAAAAGTTCTAGATAATTGCCCTGGGTTAAAGAGTGGGCAGTTTAGAGGGTATGGTAGTGGACAGCGATGGGTTTTATGTTATTGTACATCGTTCTGGGAATTTACGGTTTGCTGCGGAATAGGTGAGATGGTTTTTTGCTCTGCTCTCCATCAACGATAGGTTTCATATTCTTTCGGCTGGAGGGACTTTCTAATGTTTCCCCGGTTTTGATCGATTAGAGATCGAGTACGGTGGGTGTTATGTTGCCAGCCTTCAGGGTACGTATTTTGTAGATGTAATTGTCGTTCTCAATATCCACCTAAGAAAATTGATTCGTAGTTGGTGGAGGGCCTACTAGCGGAGTAGATCCTCTCGGAGAGACTTTCAACAAGGCATCAACGCCTACTAAACTGATCGAATTTCCTTGTAGCATTACACGATTTTGTTTCAGATGAGCATTAAGGCCAGCATTTTTAAGTTTTCTGCAGGCGGTAACCATGTTTCTTCTCTCAGCTCTCTCCTCTCCAGAAAGATCATTAGATATGAATAAACCGAGAATTAAATTCAACTAAGACGGGACGATTACCGCTCTCTTTTCCGCGTGTCGACTATGACTATCCGGGAGCTCGAGTCTAACCTTGGAGAAGGACAATTTCTCTGTGTCTTCAAGAGTACCGTTAACGGTGTCGCAATCAAGGAATTTATGGAGAATAATATTTTTCTCCCTTTTCATTTTATCAATTTCGACTTACAGGAGAGAGACTTTTTGTTCCAAGGTTACGATTTTTGTAGTGTTATTGGATGTGCACGTGATGGACTTGCGAATTTCTGTCTTCAGGTCATCGTAGGATTTGATTAGATTTTGCAAAAGAGAAATGGTCGTCCGCGCGGATATCATCGGGAAGTGAGATTCCAGAGTTGTTGTTAGAGATTTCATCAACAATATGATCGCTCCTAAATTCTCAAAGATGGTTTCTCCAAAAGTAGAAATATATGACACAGCACTGGGTCTGCTAAATGTCAGATATTGAACAATCAACATTAACGGAGATAACGGAGTAAGACAAAAAGGACAAGGCAAAAACGCGTCCGTTCAATACGACGACTCAATCGAATCATTGAATCTCTGTTGTAATTTTAATTTAGTTTTTATGTAGGCATACAGAGTGTTTCTTAAATAAGTAGCAAGCACGCAGGAGGTGATAGGGCACAATAAAACAAGAAAATTAAGTGAATGGTTGTCCGAAAGTCCGCCGTTTTCAGGAAAAACGTAATTGAATGTACAGGGAAATGCCAGTCCGGCCCTGATAGGATCACGCAGGAATGCGAGTACAATATTATTGCAATAGTCAAATTGTACGGTCATCGATATGCCCAACGAAAACTTCCACATCGGCAAATCATTTGAAATTCGCTGCAGAGATTAAGGGATACCGTACCATGTACATGTGAATAAGGTCGTGGACGTCGACGCCCGAATCATCTCGTCGTTGCAGAAAACGAAATCCTTGATTTCATACAAAACAACCCCCAAAGTAGTACACGAGAAATAGCGCGGAACTTTGGCTCCTCCCATGTTACACTGTGACGAATTTTAAAGGAACAATTGCAACAATCAACGAGTGCAAGCCTTGCAAGAAACTGATTTCCAGCCGCGAGTTAATTTGTGTCAGTGGTTTTGACAAAAACAATGCTGCATACCCCAATCTTTTCCATACGGTGCTGTTTACAGTCGAATGCTGTTTCTCGAGAGATGGAATTTTAAATTTTCATGATGCTCACTGTTGGTGTGACGCAAACCCGCATGTCGTGCATTTCGAATATTAATTGTGCGTAAAGGAATTCCTTCTAATTTACAATAAATTATTGAGTTTAAAATAAGTTTTTTGGGTGGTCTGCATTACTTTTTTGTCAGACATCATTTACTTATCTCTTAAATGTTTCATATTTAATTGAGTTAGAAAATCTAAAATGTAGCGAAACGCGGGATAGGCTAGGTACAAGGACAGACGAAATACTAAAGGAGGCGGGAGAAACGAATTACAGGGACATAGAGACAGAATAGAACTGCATTAAAATATTTTATAAAAAAATATAATATAAAGTGGGAAATAATTAGGAAGTGTAGAGCAGCTAAGGAACAGTAAATTGAACAAGAGAAGAAAAGTAGTAGGGTACAGTAGTAATAATATAAAAAACGAGGTAGGGGTCATTCTGATAGAAAATGAGTAAAGACAGACAGGCGGAAAGAATACTTAGAGAACGTATGCCTAGGCCATGAGTTAGGAGATATATTAGAAAAGGATGATAGTGTGGAGATGGATGGACTAGGTTATCCCATAATAATGAGAGAAAAGTTCGATGTAGCATTAAAAAACTTAAAAAATAATAAGGCACCAGGTATATATGGAATACAGGCTGAAATTGCATGCAGGATAAGAGGTTAAAGATCGTATGTTTAAACTAATTAATCACATTTACGAGACGGAGAAAGTGCGAGAGATTTAGAGACAATTAGCTCAACTTCCCATGCGTCAAAAATTTGAACTAGAATTGTACAGAGAAAGATGGAAAAAGGGGCGGGAGAACTATTAGGGGAAAATCAATTTGAGTTTAGACGAAATAGAGAAACGCAGAAGGTCATTCTAGCTTTACGGGTAACAATAGAGAAAAGGATAGAAAAAGGAATTTGGATAGGAAATAGGATTTGTAGATTTAGAAAAAGCTTTTAACAATGTTAAATGGGACAAGATATTAAATATATTTTAAATGGAGGAATGAGTTACAGAGAAAGCAACAGGCAGTTATAGAGCTGGAGCAGCAACGTAGAGAAGTAAATTTCAGAAAGGGAGTCAAACAAGGATGCACTCTGTCACCGCTACTTTTTAATCTCTACATCAAACACGCGATCAACATCATTAAAGACAGTACAACTGTAAGGATAGATAGAGGGGCAAAAAATTAGTATGCTTAGATTTGCAGATGATATAGCAGTTTTAGCATCTAGCAAGAAGGAGATACCTTTAAATTGAAATGGAAGCGGTATTGGCAAAACAGTATTGTATAAAGACAAATAAAAGTAAAACAAAAATACAGGTATGCAAGGGAAGAAAAAGTAGATTTTAGGTATCTAGAATGCCAGATAAGTCAGGACGAAAGAAGTAATAGGGATATAAAGCAAAGAATAGCGCAGGGTCTAGTCGACTTCAATAGAAAGAAGTCACTTCTATGTTCGCAACCGATTAATTTAGAAATTTGAAAAAGATTGTTAAAGGTATATGTTTGGAGCACGGCGGTATACGGGTGCGATATATTGACAGTGGGTGCGGCGGAAAAGAAAATGTTAAAAGCGTTCGAAATGTGGTGTTACAGGCAAATGATGAGGGTACCGTGGTAGAGGTTAAAAATGAAGAGGTATTAGAAAGAGTAAGAGAACTTAAGACTATGGAAGTCAATAAGAAATAGGCGAGATAGGTAAGTAGGACACCTTTTCAGGCATGAAGGTCTAGTCAGAGACATATTAGAGGCAGAAACGGAAGTTATGAGGGGTAGAGGTAGACCTAGATTAGATTACTGTTCGCAAATAGTTAAGAATATGAATTGTTCTAGTTTTAGGTAAATGCGATGATTAGCGCAGGATAGGAAAGAGTGGAGGTGTCCAACCAGACTGACGACCTTTTGATGATGATGATCTAAAACACTTTGTGTAATAGTAGAGTACTTTTATTTATTTTTTATATATCTATAGATTGCTAAGATTATGTATTTTTCTTCATACTCTAGCCGTGTATGAGTGAACATTTATCTATGCACATTAACAATAATGCAACATGCAACTCTGATAAAAGTTGTCGTCTAAGTGACATATTTGAGTCTTTCACTGAATGTCAAATATTAGTTTTAAAATCAAAAAAAAAGAAATAATACCGGCGAATTTCGAAATTTTAATTATTTCCCACATTAATTCAAAAACTAATGTAATTTTGGATATTTAGTAAATTATACACTTCTACGGTCACGTGACTGAAAAATCAAGTTGTTTGCAATTTTTTTTCCAAATTATTTTGATGGCTTATTTAGGTAGGAAAAAAGGATACGAGTTGAAAAAAATTAATATACTTAGTTTTACAACTTTGAACGCTAAGTAAAAGTTACTTTTCATGTACATTCATGTCGCAAAATCGAGTTTTTTTTTATATAAATACATAGAAACAAGCATTAAAAAAATGAAAAATAATTAACGGCTGATAAATTAAAATAATTGTCATTATAATAGTGGAATATGGATGCAAGGGGATGTTAAAACTACCCTTCAATTTTTTTTTTTCATAAATCCGCCGCAAAATGGACATTTTGAGACCAGAACCATGAAAATTCATCAATTTTTCGATTTTGAATAATCAAAAACCAGGTGACGGTGATAGTATAAATTGGACCTAGCCCAAATATCATAACAATAAAATAAAAAAGCCTTAATTTTTGTACTAAATGAGTTTCTTTATTCTATAACGAGCAGAGTATTGCAGTCAAATTTCATAAATCGGAGTACCATCAGAAGCCCAGGAGTTCTTCACTTTTTCAAAAGCAAAAGTTAAATATATTGCTAGAAAAAAAAATAAATTACTATTTAACTATTATATGTTAATACAATACTCACAAGAAGCTTCCCATTCTGATTTTGATAATGTTCCCACATATACACCTTCACCAGATGTGTAATTTTTTATATATTCTTCAGCAAATTCATAATCAAACTTAGGGTCCCCAACTAATGATGCTCCTTGATAAGGAGGATATGTTTCTAATGCTTTCATATTGACCATTAACTGTTTTCCTTCAATTTTCATTTTTTCATAAAAATCATAAAAGTTTGATTTTTCAATTAATTTAAGTCCATACTTTTTTGCTAATTTAACAAAAGTTGGAAAGTGAATTAAAAATTCTGGGCAATCCACCACACCATCTAGATAAAAATGATATTTTGCACCAAAGAGAGGGGGTTTATTTATATCAAAATCCATTTGTACTTGATAAACTCCATTACCAAAACGATTAGATTTTTTCTTTCTTGCTCTTACCAAAAGATGATTTGAATCAAGAATTGTTCCTATAAAATATCCTCCTGCTGAAAGACACTCTGCAGCATTATGCAACATACATTCTGCTTGCTTTAAACTTTCAAAACTGTAATGGAATGCAAATTGACAACTAACAAGATCTAACTTCATTGAAGGGTCCTGATATTTTTCTCTAAGTCTGATTTTTGTACAATCTGCAGCTATATACTCAACTGAAAAGATACTCTCAGAGCCCCTTTCATGGCCAATTCTATTCTGCATATCTCTATATCTTGATTTGCAATGGTCAAGAGATACTGGTGCAATATCACTACATATTAGGTGGTGTATACTTCCTTTTTTCCACTTCAATAAATCTCCACCTTTACCACAACACATATCATGAACATGAATTGGTGAATTATTCTTTTTCTTATCTTTTATTTTAACCAAGTATTCATTTATAAGCATACTCTTAATCCAATTATGAAAATTTCTCAAATAAAACAGTCTTGACTTTGATCTCTCATGCAAACCTTTCTCCAGTCGAGAATTATAGTGTGTTGCAACTATATTTGCATAACTCTCTCTGGAATGGTGAGCGACAGATTCATCAGGTTTGGCCTTTCTTAAACTTGTATTAGAACAACGTTCATCTTTAAAATCGCAAATTTTAAGCTTTTTACTACTTTTAGGTTGAATATCTTCATCTTTTTCATCATTTAAATTATCTTCCTTTTCTATAACTTCATAATTTCTTTTATCAGCATCTGCAGCAACTATTACTAGCGTTTTTTCTAAATCATCTGTTGATGTTTCATTTTCTAAACCTTCACTAAATTCAATGCTAGTCATTTTAAATTCAAAATTAACTTTTCACTTCTATTAATTAACAGCTACTAAGAACATACGAGTACCTGTAAGTACCTATTTATTAAGGTTATTTGAATTTCGCTTGTTTTACGGAATCTTGAATATACCGTGTGGACGTGTTCCACAATTCTAGGCACTCGTTTTACGTCAATAATTAGTGAGATTAGTGATGGATTGATGGTAAGTCGTGCTTTCAATCACATGGCTTTGGAACATAATTTTGTTGTAATATTCTAAAAACGTTCTTTGTAGAATGGAACGATTTTTTAATTAACGCCATAGATAATAGATATACAAAGGGTAACGCTATGTTGTCTCTGTCTTGTCTTCTTGTCTATGAGTCGTGTGAATCTGGCACCCGACATAAATAACACTCTGATTTAAATTTTACCAATAAATTATGCTTCGTTTGAGGGTTGTAAATATGTAAGTATCATAATTGTGCACATAATTTATCTTTATATTACTTATTACTAATAATTACATATCACTTGATTTTTCATTGATATTATTAATACGCGTCCGCCATTCCTGAATCATAGATAATAAATATGATTATACTAATGCCACCATCGACGTATATTAATGGACGTGCCTTAGCCGTATGTCGTTGAAATAATTTCCTGATTCGAAAAGTGAGGGAGATGGCGTATGGTTTCGGACTAGTGCTATCTCTTTCATGACACGCGTAGGCACTATCGTGAGAGAGATGGATATTGTCCGAAATTTCGTTCCATCCCTTTCTTTTATTGTACCACAATTCTGACCGCTAAGGCATGTCCATTAGTAAACGTCGATGAAAATAAACATTCATTACATTCCATAGATTTACATTAATAGATTTTTGCTTGGCATATTCATCATAAACGATTAGCTTTGCTGAATAGTCAAAAAATCACTGTTTACTTTTTTTATCTATGGTCGTTTGTATGGGTTACGTTTACATCTATGGTTTACATTATTCACAAGATAATAGATTAGATTTACAACAATAGGTAACATGGCTGTTAAAATATATTATTGGTAGACGTATGTAGCACGGTAATACATACAATAGCAGCACGTATGTAGTTTATTTACGAATGACAGCAGTGGTGTGTTAAATATCGAACAAATGATTTATTACATAAAGCTGACGTACTTTGCTTTCCGGGTGTTCATTACCCATATTTGTCTGGTAGGTTTTTAAAACAAATTTTTATTTATTTTATTTCGATGAAAACATGCCCAAGAGAGTGTCAAAGGTCTTAACCCTTAGATCAAAAATTGAAAAAACGAACTTGAAGAGCAAAAAGTTAAATAGATTGAAAGGTATGAAGGCATGTTGCATGTATTTTCCCACTTTACCTTTAAATAAAATAAAAAATTGTATATTAGTACTAACAAAGTGGTTTCTTTGAAGCACAGTTATCTTCAAATAAAATAAACAATTGTTTATTAGTACTAACAAAGTGGTTTCTTTGGAGCATAGTTAACCTGATTTATCAGGTGAAACGAGCTATTTAAATGTGTAACCCAGTCATAATATAACACCTAAAGCATGCGTAAACTGGCAGCTACATATTGTTTTTATTTTTAATTCATTGATTAATTTTATTTGTAGGCCTAAAAATGTTAGCTGTGATGGCAACAACACAACCAGGAAGTAGTGATAATACATCTGTTGATTCTGATCAACCAAGCAATGGTAATTCAAAGGATTTTTTATCGACTGGTCGCACTGGAAGGCGCAATGCTTTACCTGATGTTTTTGGTGAGAATGCTTTAGTTACTAGTTCAGATTTGCCAGATAAATTTAAAAAACTAGCAACAAGCGACAACTTGCAGGACAGTTCGAAGGAAAGTGACAACCTAAACTCCAATAATAAAACCACTCCTTCAACCTCAAAATGATTTTTTTTTTAAGTATTAAAATTTAATGTTTTAACTTAATTTTCACATGTGATTAAATTGATTAATCATTATTAGACTGAATAATAGATAAGTTTTAATACTGTGGATATATTAAAAAAACCATTTTGTATTTAATTGTTGCTGCAAATAATGATATAGTGCTTATTTTGATGCGTCTTTATATATATTATGTGATTTTTAGTATTAGACTTTTGTTAGTTGTTTTAGTTATTAAACGAAAATATGATTAAAAAAAGTTTAATTACATAAATATGCATTTTTAATTAACACAAAACTGCCACAAATTAAACTGAAAAATAGTGGAAGCATAAATTGTTGTTGAAGGAATCTCAAATTAATTAAATGTTACTTGTAATATCCCGACTACAATTATTGTTATTTGGTTTCGTTTGTACCTACAATTTACTGCATTTAGCGTAAATTGTATATAGAAAAATACAGTTAGTAGTATCTAATGACAGTATGGCACTAGCTAGAAATTTCGTAATTTGTTATTGTACGATTAGCTACAAAATAATCTGTTTTGTGATTGCCTTTGTTAATTGGTAATATCCTGTTAAAATTGTCGATTTATTTTATATGTTTAATTTTGTGTATAATATATATAAGTGCTGATTAATTTAGTCGAATTTATTGTTTTCATTGATATAATTTACATTTTTATTATTCATTTGCAAAACTACTTAATGAAGAAAATTTTTTTGCCTAGTCATAGTTTTAATTAGTAGTAATTAATATATCACCAAATATATTTATAAGCATAATTAACGCAAATGTTCTAAAAACATCAAATTTGTGTTATATATTATGATAAATACTGTTATTAAATTGCATTTTAAGAACTTATACATGTTATTTTTATAAATAATTAGCAAATTACAGCACNTTTTTTTGTTTCAAAAAAAAAAAGGAATATTAATAAAACTAAATAAAAAGCTTCATATTCGTGTTTTTATTTATTTTCTAATGTTTATTGTCGATTTAACAAATTATTAACACTAATTTTCGTTCAGAATGTTCATTTTCATTCTTAATTTTTTCAAATTAACGGCAGTGCCTTCCATTTTAGAATTAAGTTCCAACGCCTTTTTATACATTTTTTCTGCATCCAACAATCTATTCCATTGATGATATAATACTCCTAAAAAAATTAGTTATCAATCAAAGTAGCAAAATTGATAAAATAAAGTACCCAAATTAGAGTAATAAAGGGCATTATTTGGATCTAACTCAATAGCTTTTAAAAAATGAGCTTTAGCTTCATTAAACTTCTTTAATTTTCCTAATGTATTGGCTGTATTGAAATATAAAGATGCTACGTTCGGATTATGTATTAGAGCGATAGTACTATACTTTATGGCTTCATCGAATCTTTCCAAAGTGTTCAAAAGAACAAGCATATTGCTCCACGCTGCTTTATGTGTTGGCTTGAAAGACACAGCCATTTCCCACGATTTAAGAGCTTCTTCATAACGATTCAAATCCAAATACTAGGGTACAATGAAATTACAATTTATCAGGAAAAGAAAACATTAGAAAATTTTACCAAATTTCCTAAATTGTAGTAACAATCAGGATACCTTTTTCTATGTCGAATTGCAGTTAAGTAGCAGTTTTCAGCTTCTACTGTTTCATTTAAATTACTAAGAACAATTCCCAAATTCATCCATGCTGCTGCAAAGTTTGGCCTAAAAAATACTATTTAAATTTGTTATCAGTTTTTCCTTTCTTAAAACCTGCCTAATTTCCACAGCTTTTTTTAATAAAGATGCCGCTTCCAAAAATTCATTTTCTTCTCGTAACAGATTTGCAAGATTGTTCATAGCCTGCTCATAAAATGGATTTAATTCAATTGCTTTTCTATATTTTTCTTTAGCTAGTTTACTGTTGTTTTTATCAGCAAATATTTTACCAACATTATAATGTACCTTAGCATTTAATGGACAAACATTTAGTGCTGATGTAAATAATTTTTCTTCATTCAACCACTCTGTGTTTCTTTGAAAAGTACGAATTGCGAAAAGTATGTATAGAAACCATAAATAAATTAGAATCTAGAGTTGTTATAACAAAAACAATAAAGTTTTGTTAAGTAATAAGTGCATTTATTACCTGTTTTCTTATACTCTTAAAATGGTTTTGTATTTTGTAAAAGCCAATAATAATTAAAAGACAATGTCCTAAACTAGGTAACAATAAGATCCTTTCGGCAATAACAAAACCAACTTTAAAAAATATGTTTGAAGCAGGTAAAAATGGCAAAATAAGTAAACACACTCCCATAAGTATATGTTTGATATTCCTAAAAGTAGTACTTAATATGAATGAAAAATCCAAATTTGAATAGTAGTAACTTACTTTAACTTCTCAGAATATACTTTATAAAATAATTTATAGCAGGAATAAATTATGAATATCCAAAATGTAATAACCAAGATTATTCTACCATCACAGTATTTTTCAATTAATGGAATACAGCCCATTGACCAATCAAAGCATAGCCAATGGGGCCACAGAAGCAAAATAAAATTTAAGAAATATATATAGTTAAAGGTTAAAATCTGTAATATAAAGTTGTTAAAAATAATATATGAAATGAGCGTTTTAAAATGCTACTTTAGTCCATGTGTTGCTAGAAAATGCTGTGGGATTATCTCCAATTGCAAAAATTGGTCTTTCAAAATTCATTACTTTTAATCTGTAGTACATTATAATAATTAGGAAACCAATTAAACACCCTATTCTATAGCAATACAATTTTAAAGATTTCCTATTTTTTAATGGCTTCTTTGTCAAAAAATCAAATACACCACAAACTCCCTGAAATATATCAAAATTCATTAAATGGCCTGGTGAATTTATGATAAAAATTTACTTACAAAACCAGTGATAGCTGTTTCTTTACAAAACACTGCAGTTCCAATAGCAATTATAGAAAGTGAAAAATACAGTAGAAATTTTTGTTTCAGAGCTTTACTGTATAGTAAAAGACCAAATACAAATAAAATTGCAGACAAAATATCTGCTCTTCCAACTAGACCTGCCACTGTTTCAGTATGTAAAGGATGTAAAGTAAATAAAATACTAGATAAAAATGCATAGTGTGCATCTAAATTTTTTTCTAAAATGACTTGATAAAGAGGTAGAGAGAGACAACATAGAATACAATATAAAAGAGTATTTGTTACATGAAATTGTACTGAATTCAATCCTGAGCCTAGAAAATAATCTAATCTAAAAGAAATAAAATGTAATAAATATAATTCATCAAACAAAAACCCTTACCTAAATGTAAGTACTGTTAGTGGTCTGTAAGACTTATGGCTTGCATTTAACTTAATGTCATTACCCCAAAAATCATTTCTAAACATATTTATTAGAGAAGTTGTTGGCAAAATATCCTTATTTTTAACTATAGCCTCTGTATCATCAAAAACAAAGTTTCCATTTATTGTAACTGAGTAACACAAAAATGCAAGACAACAAATAACAAAATACTGCCATGGTTGATTCTAAAAGAAAATTAGGTGGTCATTCAAAATAAATATTGGTGATTAAAAAAAACTAATACTTGCCATACTTAAAAATTATCAATTTTACAGAAATGCATTTTTTTAAAATGCTTTATAATAGTCTGCTCAGGAATAATTATCCCAAAAATTGTGGAATCCTCGGAAGCATTCGGCCCATTCCGGCTGGCGCGAATTTTGATCGTTGATTCAAAAGTTTAAAACGTCAAAGTGCGAAACACAAGTTCCGATCTTTCTTTAATTGTAGACTTCTAAATAAGTGAGCATTAAGTGAGTTATAGTCATAGATAGTTATAGTATTAAGTACACTTAATAACAAGAGTCTGGCCATAGGCAGTCATCGCTGTGATTAGTACGCGCATACCGGCGGCTAAGTTTATCCTAGGTTCTACTAAACGTAATACCAGTAAACGCAATTATTTTCGTTTAAAGTTAAAGTTTATTTCTAAAAAAGAGTAAAACTTTATTTAAACAAGATTACAAGATGACTAAAATTGAGATGTCTTAAAGACTTTTGTCTAAGTAACTAACAATTCTCGCTACAAGTATTTATATATAATATCATGTTTTGTTCACTTTTACAATTTTCGCTTACTTAGACATATCTGACACAATATAATTGTTCGTTATATCAAAACAATAGACATCTTGTTTGCACAATAGTTTCATTATTCGCTCTCGTTATTGGCAACTGCGTGGTTTGTTGATATTACCCAGTAAGTGATTTATTTTAATGACGTCAGGGAACTCTAAATTGGCTTTAAACAACTTAAAATTGGATTAATATAAAGCTGCGGTTAACTTTTTAAATATGTTCGCTCATCAATCAAACAATTCTCCATATGCAAAAGTTTTTTTTTAACAGAGAAGAAATTTGTATTTTGCTTAACTGAAAGATTCTCACAGATTTTTTTAGAAAAAATATTTTCTCGAATCAGATCTGTGTAATACCGAATGCTTTTCGGTTTAAACAAATTGTAGAACTGAATACAATTTCTCAATACCTCCGAAACGTTTTCTCATCCAATTATTTGGAAGATGATAGGGAATCTTTATGATATCAGTAAAATCAATAATAGATATATTATTATAAATTCAACAACTACTTTAGATTTAGCAATATCAGAGTTAAATTTAAGTGAAAGAAATTATTTGTATAATACTACAAGTTACATTTTATCAAGAATCAAAGATAATGTCTAATAGTCATTGTGACATCTATTTTATTCGAACATTATTCAAATAAGAAATATTCAGAATAACCTTTAACAGATTATTGGATTGTAATTTAGAAACAACACTATTTAAATTAATTATGAAACTGGTCTTTTTTTCCCGTCATAAATTAGATGCAATTTTAGTCAAGCGATTTGTGAAAGTTCGATTAAATATTTCCTCAAAGAAATCTATTAAAAATGAAGTCTTCTTTATGCAGAAAAACTCAACACGCGCATGCTACATAACTAACCTCATCATCATCATAAGGTCGTCAGTCCTAAGACTGCTTGGACACGCACCTCCATTCTTTCCTATCCTGAGCTAATCTTTGCATTTTTCTAAAACTACAACAACCCATATCCTGAACTATTTGCGAACAGTAATCTAATCTAGGTTTACCTCTACCCCTCCTAACTCCTGTTTCTGCCTGTAATCTAATATGTCTCTGACTCACTCTGACTAGACCTTCATGCCTGAGAAGGTGTCCTACCAGCCTATCACGCTTATTTCTTATGATTTCCATAGAGTCCTCTGTTCTCTTACTCTTTTTAATACCTCTTCATTTCTAACCTTCTCTATCCACGGTATCCTCATCATTCGCCTGTAACACCGCATTTCGAACGCTTCTAACCTTTTCTTTTCCTGCGCGTCCACTAATAACTAAACGTTAAGTTCATTTTCCGATTTATGTAATAATTCTTTAATAAACAACTTTTAAGCAAATGTCTTATAATATTTCTCATATATTGCATAAACACGTTGGCCTCCCTAAAAGATAAACATGGCAGCTACTAGCCGTATGGCCATATTCTAATTTTAAGTATAGGACGTAACTGGACAGTAAAATCGTTGTAAATTCAGTTAGCTTTTAATTAATTATAAATAAAAAAAAAAAAACAAAGAAAAACCGTGTGATGTCGTGGGACACCTGAAAGGAACTAAGTTTTTTATGCTATTCGACAATTATTTTATTGGAAGGAAGTTCGTTACGAGACATATATTATGCCAAAAGAAACAATGTATTTTCAAATTCAACCATCTCTTCCAGTAATGAAAGTGTACTGTTTCCTTTTCTTTAAAGTTTTATATTAAGTTGGCTAAGATACATTGCAACCTCAGTCATAAAATAAAATTGTTATAGCCATTTATTAAGTGGAAGTATCTTGTTTTAGGTATATGGGTGTGCTATGGGACTGCGTTTCGCTTTAGCTTTTAATTTTTTTAAGGCAATTTGAAAAGTTTCAATTGTGTCTTGAAAGAGCTGCATGCGGCTCGTGAGTCACAGTTTACCGACCCCTGTATTTGCGATAGACGGTTGCGTTCATCGACGTTTACTAATGGACATGCCTTAGCGTTCAGAATTGTGGTACAACAAAAGAAAGAGATGGAACGATGTTAACATCGACGTTTACTAATGGACATGCCTTAGCGGTCAGAATTGTGGTACAACAAAAGAAAGAGATGGAATGAAGTTTCGGACAATATCCATCTCTCTCACGATAGTGCGTAGGCGTGTCATGAATGAGATAGCACTAGTCCGAAACCATACGCCATCTCCCTCACTTTTCGAGCTAAGAAATTATTACAACGACATACGGCTAAGGCATGTCCATTAATATATGTCTATGGAAGTTAATATACGTCTATGGTTGCGTTTATCTATCTATGCTATCTATGCTAGCGACATATGACGTGTAACCGTGTAACCGTGTCACAATCTTGTACGCAATCGTACACGTAATGGTATCCAGTATCATTTGTACTCGGTGGTGTACATGTGTTTAGTGTTTGTGGCTAAGCCGGTAAAATTACCTTAAAATTAAAAATGGTTTTAAAAGTTTTTATTTTTCTTATGTGTATATTGTTTGTGAATACTACTGTGGTTGATTATATTAGTGAAGCGGATTTTAACAGATATGCACCTACTTTGGTAAAAACATTAGTTGATCTTCAAAAGGGCGATTTTGTTTCTCATTATTATGGTTTAAAAGTATTCCACGTCTTTAATTTTGAACTTCCTTTAAAATTGTACTGGGATTCTTGTGCTCAAGTTGATGAAAACTTTGATGTAAAAGCATCAGCAGAAGATATTTATAAAGCGATTACAATATGGACGATAAGTTTATGTGAGGAGCGTATAAAGGTAATTTTTTTCCTTTTTATGTTCAAAATAAATGTAACATTACCTTGTAAGAACTTATCTAATGCATTTTTATTTATTAGCCATGTTTAGTATTTCGGCTTAGGGTGAGATGGTATTTCAATGAACTAACATTCAAAAATTATTTCAGGTTCTTAAAAGTAGTAAGAACAAGGACGCCCCTAGGGTTCAAGTGAGTAATTTCATTTATTTATGTAAAATAAGACATGGAGTGACTATTTTGACCATTCAAGGAGTCCACGAGTACACAAGATTAAAATAATCTTTAAGGATAAATAAGTGGTGCTCCAGATAAAAATATTCCCAAGTTTTGTTACCTTCTGGGGATCTTATACAGGGTGGATTACAAAAAAGGCCTAAAGTCATAACTTTTATTTTTAAAGATATGACTATATTTTTTGGGACAAAGTTACATAGTTGATTTGTCACCTACATATTTCTCCTTATAGATGCTCAATCAATGCCGCTTCCTGTTTCACCGAAAGTGACATCAACTTAGTTTTTTAATAAAACGCACCGTATATTTTATCAGTTTTGAGCACCTCGTTAAATTGTTTTTCAAAAAGCTCAACGGTTTCATATGTCTAAAACCAATGGTTAGTGTCATATTCGTTAATTTATTTGGAACTATGCACTTGTCTAATAAAAATAATCAGTAATACATTAAACAAAATAGGGAGTGAAAAACATTTGATAGAATCTTTTACAAAGTGCTTGAAAAGACCTTTAATTTTAAGATAGCATAAAAATTAACGAAGATATGATAAAAATAAAGTGGGTATCTTGTTTTTCCAATCAAAAATCTGGCAATGTAACTAGAAAAAACAGAATTAATTAAAATTTAGCAAAATCCTTGTAGGTGTATGTTAGTACATGTACCAATAATGTGTAGAAAATTTTTGATCGATTTGGAGGGTCTAGATTAAAAAAAAAGACAAATTTTATTGTAAAATCGCTCTGGAAAATTTTGAAAAAACTTTTGTTTAGGCCACCACATATTGTTTTTCAACGTTCAAAAACTGTTTCTTTATCATTTCCGCGCCGAACATATACATTTATATTAAAATTATCAATATAATCACCTTTACAACATATTAAAAAGGATGAGTATAAGTACAAGTTTATTAATGATGTACGTAATTTTTCACTAATTGACATACAAAAATCAGGTCATTTACCACTAAGTTATGTCCCTGAACCTATGTCAACTGTGAGAACGACGGATTCCGTATTTTACTGATTATGCATTTTAGGATTAGTATTGCTTATTTCAAATATGTAACAATGAAATTGTCACTTCTTAGTCTCTAGATTAGAGAAATCGCTTGCTTCAATTTGTAAGCTTTTATTATCAGAATATATTTCTGAATTTAAATTAATCTCTAAAAGGTATATTTATTCATGTACGTATAATTATTACTAATTAAGCTTGTTTTTTATTTAGCAGTAAAAGAAATCTCTTGTGGGAAAATGTCGTTATTTTTCTATTAGTCGATATGGGTGGATGAGTGGGAAAAATTATTCGGATTCGGATTAAATGTCAAAAAACAACTTTTTTTATACTCTTTGGTAGACGAAGATAACGTAGTAAATGTTTTGGCATATTTTCATTCATATTCGGAGTCGTTAATTCTCGATGCGGAATAGGATTTAGGCTTTTCAAGACCTTCCATTTAAGGAATTTTGAAAAATAACGAATTATATCCTTTCAAATTCAACTATCTTTCTACACTTCAGATGCTGAAAAACGTTCTCAATTTTGTGATTTTGATTCGAACACAAGATTCCATTTTTTGTTGATTAATACAAAAGAAGGAATCCCAGGATTATTTGAAGCTTTGCTTTCAGCCCAAATTGCACGAGCTGTCACACATGAGCTTACCACAAAGTTAAACAATTGCTTATAACTAAATAAGGGGGGGGGGGCATATCGAACAATTAATAATACTTTTAATTATTATCAGTTGATATCGCTAATTATTATTTTAATTATTGTTTAGTTGCTTTTTTACTATTGTCTGTAGTCCCTCGTATTGCAATTGATTTCTTAAAATTCTTAATTTGAATACGTATTTTCATTTTCCATTCTTTATAAAAATAATATTCAATAATTGATATTGAGAATTAAAGGATTTTCTGAACTGTCAATGTGGGTGTCTCGAGTGACGAGAATTAACTTATAATATTTGTTTTGAAGTAATTACACTTTTGATTATTAGGGAATGATTGTGAAAATATGCCAGAATCTAATCTCTCAAATAATTCATCTAATAGGTACTGATTTTTATGACGATTTAGTTATAACTGCTAATATCATGAAAATTTAATTCGATTCAGAAGTACTGCATCGGGTTGTGTTTTATGTGCCGTTGTGTCATTTTGATCAGTTTTATTTAAATTTATTTAATTTATTAAATTCTTAGTTGAAATACAATGGTGAAGAAATTTAGACTAATTTTGATTAATTACTTCCACACTAAGTAAGTCCAAGTAAAAAAAAAATTTGGACGTATTTTTATCTAAAATCCCACTTATGCATAATTAAGTATCATATCAACTCGTTTCAAATGGTTAGAGTTGTGACCTTGAGGAAACCTATGCGAATAGAAAAAACACTAGGCGTAAGCAAAACAGAAATAATTTGAATGTGATAAAATATGGTTGAATTTAGAATTTTGTTAGGGTTCATTCAGGTAAAGGGAAGGAACATATATCTAACCGCTTGAAATGAGTTGTACCAAGGTACCGATTTAAAAAAATATCTAAATGATGTTTATTTTATCTAGTTTTATAAAATATACTACTACATCATAAACTTACATTTTTGAAATTCAGCACACTATTTTTTTTTACAGGGTTTAAATGGTAAACTACCTACTGATGACATTTTAAAGGTAAAACTTTAAATTATTATACTTTAAACCAATGCTAACTGAGTAAAATTTTTAACAATTGTAATTAAAAAAATAACTAATTGTATTGAAGTATAAGTGAATCTTGGGAATCTTAAGGTAGAAACAGTATGCCTCATCTATAAATTATACTTGTTGCTAATTGAATTCTAGTGTTTCAACCAAGTGGCATGGTCTAGATCAGTTATTTTCAAAATAAGGGTCACAGAAAAAACCATTATGACTCAATCAAAACATATGTATACATATAATATTTTGTTCAAATATCTGCCAAAGATAAGTTATTAATTTTTATTGATACTAATGTGGCGTTTATTGCCATACTAATCTCTGACAGTTTTATATTTAGTTCAATCTTTCAGTGACAAATTTAGCCCCTACAGTGTTTTTCTATGACACTTCTATTGCGATATAGAATATATGTGTAGTGTCAGCCCTCCAGTTGTTTTTTTTTTTTACTAGCGGCAAATAGATAAATGTACCACTTTTCAGCGACTAATTATAGCACCCTTACAATATTTTTCTACGCCATTTCAATTTTGAGGTACTCTACACTCTGAAAAAAAAAAGGTTAGGTGGTTTACTTTATTTTTACATTTTTTAAAAAGGATTCAACTCGAAAGAATAGTAAAAGTTGATAGTTCTCAGAACTATGAATGTTATTTATGAATACCTTTATTCTTAGTTAATCTCATAATGAACTCATTTGTTATATGGTGTGAATTTTTCCGAGAATATGGGTTACTATTCTAAACATTGTGATTTAACGCTGCGAGATAAATATGTGATTTTTTGTATAGTAACAAGCAAAGGCTCACACTAACTCTGTACGTTTTTGGTTTTCAATAATATAGCCATTAAAAGCTTTTACAAGTGCTTAGTTTTGATGCTTTTTGTAGGACACGTATTTTTAATAGAAATTAAAAAATGGCCTTCGACAGGCTTTAGAACAAAGCTTTAACTATCTTACTACAAAATTTCAAACCTCTGTTCCAAACATTAAACTCATGATATCTAGAACCGATAAGCATGTTTTTACTCTACACGGCACCTGTACCACTGGATCCCCTTCATGTATCGCCATCTTTTGAGTATGTACTATTGATACGTGTCGAAGCAGCTTTTATAAAAGATATAACCGAGTAAACAGAAAAGGATTCGGTGTTATTTTTCAACGTATCGGCATCTTTTAAGTACTGTTGGCTCGTGCTGAGGCGAATTTTATAAAAGATGTAGCCGAGTGGACTAATTTCAAAATTCAAAACAAGAAAAAAATCAATAATTTTTTTAAACTCTTGCCTAAAGCTGATTATAATGATTAATTTTAATTGCGAATTTATCAATACATTCATTTTATTTTAATACATATTGGTTTTATTTTAGAACCTTAGAACGTATCCCCTATGATTCCGTACTAATTATCATTCCATATCCATGGTTTCTATATTCGCGGCATATTTATGAAACGCATACCCCGCGAATAAAGAACTTTTACTGTAGTTTAGGTTACATTTTAAACGTCGTCGGACTCATACAGGGTTTGTCCGGAAAGTAATAGGACTGAATCGATTTAAAAAATTTATTGCGCCAATCGTTACAATTCTTTAAAAACTTTCAAAATAGGCATCTTCTGCGTCGATGCAGCGCTGCCAGCGTGATTTCCAAGCATTGAAGGCGTCACGGAAGGCATTCTGCGGAATAGCCTTAAGAGCCGCGGTGCATGCTGCTTGGATCCCCTCTGTCGTCTCAAAATGCTTGCCTTTCATCGGCTTTTTCAGGCGAGCAAACAAAAAAAAGTCCGGGGGGGCACATCTGGGCTGTAGGGCGGTTGCGGAAGCGTTGGCATGCCGGCCTTGGTCAGGTACCACAGATTTTGGTAAATTTAATATCTGAGCAATTAAATGAATACTTAGTCGACGGTCTGAGTTTAAAACCTCGCGCACACGAGTCACATTGTCGGAGTTTGTCGAAGTCGAAGGTTTTCCAGCACGGTCTTCATCGGTGACCTCTTCCCAGCCCTCTGAAAAGGCCTGGTACCACCGAAACAGACTACTTCTTGCTAAAGCAACATCTGGGTAAGCCTGCTTGATCATATCAAACGTCTCTGTCGCAGATTTACCGAGTTTCACACAGAATTTAATCGCGTACCTCTGCTCTAACGAACGCTGCATTTTCGGCTTGCACCACTCACAGAAACACGTCGCGCGAAAAAGCCTATTCTGACTCTCCAGGTGCTCGGAGACAACTCACCAGTCGCTCGTTCGTTAGCTAGGAATGCCCTCTACCGAATCCAGTCGGTGCGCGCACGCTCCGAAGTACAGTCGCGGCGGAAGGAAATCAGTCCTATTACTTTCCGGACAAACCCTGTATATGTAATACTCCTATATTGCTAGTAGGGGTTTAGAAAAAGATGACGACCTAACGGTGCAGACATATATGCGTCTGTCTCTCTCGTGACTACTTCGAGTATTACACGCATGCTCGACCTATAAGCGCGCATCATTTAACCTACCAGACTCGTGACGATTGCGCACAACGGATCGAGTAATCTAAAAAGAGACAGAAGTAGTCGTTTGTTGTCTTATTTACTCCGTGACACATTCACTTACGGGCACTATTAATATAGGAGTATTACATATTTGGTTGGACCTTACTTGGCCGATTTAAAAAACAACGACGCTAACATACTCACAGATATATTAAAAAAAGATGCACACAGTATCAGAGTAGCTGAAGCCAAATAATGTAATGAGTGTTCTAAAAACTATATTTGAATAAAAATAACTAAAAGCAACATCGTACACATACATAATGCTACTACTTAGTTCAGTCAAATGAGGGAAATGACTGAAGAGTACCTTCTAATGAAGAAGATGATTGAAACACGGGTCATTTTATCGGAAATTTCGTGAAGAACACGAATATGTAAATGAAAATTATTTGCCCTGCATAGGTGGGGAGTAAATCCGCAAAAACAATTGCAAATTGGAATATCTCGGGAAATATGAAAGATATGGAAAAAAGTTTCAATAAAAGTTTTTCACAATGCCATTTTGCAAAAAAGTATTGATGACATTTTTATATCTCTCATAGAACAAAAGTTCGGCGCGCCCAATGGCAAAGAGGCCTCGGAATTCGCGGAAATTTTTAAAAAATTCAATCGGTTCGTAACTTATCTTAATCGGTTAAGCTGTCTTTTCAGAGAAAAAAAGACTTTTTTTATCTATTATTTCATTGTTTGTTTAAACAATTAATACATTCAATTAACTAAAAGTCATCTATGTATCTCATTACCGTTAATAAATACAAAAAAATACATAAAATGCGAATTTGTTCCGTTCGGACTGCTGCAAATATTGATGCAAAAACTAACGCATTTGGACAATTTTTAACGGAGTCATAGCGGTTTAAACGTTTAATTGTTTNATTGATATATAATAAATAAATTCAAAAATAATTTTAAACAACGACAGTTGGTCGTCTCTCACCACCAGCATTAGGTATGATGGCGACATACTGACCCTCTCTTGGTATTTAAGCATCTTCCAGTAAGCAGCATCTTTGATTTAGTCAGCAGCCAGTTTATAGTACGTAGATTTAAATCTAGTAGTTCCGATAATTATTTTTTTAAAGTAATCGATAGAGCTCTTAAGACAAGGTGTGCTAAGATGGCACCCGACACCCGTTAGTAATAATTTACTTATTTAAAGTTTATGAATAAATTGTGCATCATTTACGCGTTGTAAATATGTTCATAATGCAAACGTTTTAAACAAAAAAATTAGTTCGGGTGCTGAGATAAGTGCGAATATATCATTATTTATCACAAATGATAGCTAAATAAGGTTATGCTCATTTTTTGTTTTCTCATTTGTCGTACCTACCAATATTAATATTGGTAGATATAGTAGCTAAAATTGTTCACAACATTATTTACGATAAATAATGATTTTGAAGAAAAAATAACACACAATTGATTGACGTCAATTAAAATATATATCTCCAATAGTTTTCTAATAAATTTTAAGTTTCTGCTAGTGCCCATTCTTTTTGCTTAAAACAAAACTACACGCCTCTGTATATACATTCGTACATAATTAAATTTAAAATTGTATTGAAAAATAACTGACTAAAGATTTTCGTTTTTTCCCCTCTTTCAATCGTTTAATTTGTTTATGTTTGTATTACCTTTTTTATTCTGATATAGCAAAAGTGTTCAAAATTATGTTGTTGCAGAAAATAAAAACAATATTGGAAGATGAAAAGTCATCGATTGCAGATGTTCGTTATGCGTTGGAATCTTTGAATTTGTTGAAACAACCTATACCGAATGGATCCAAGATAGCCCAAAAACTCCAAGGTTTACTAAAAAGCGATGACAGTTTGCAAAGTTATGGACATGTTTTTCACGCTGCGGCGATTTTGAAAAACGATGGCACATTTGCCTCGCAATTCGTAGAAGACGTGATAGTGCAAGCAGATGAAGTTGACGGAAAAATGCTACAATGGGAAGGAGGTCTTATGACTACTTCATCTCTCATCACTGGTTTGCTTCGTTTTTCTACCTCGAAAGCATTTAGTCAAGCCCAAGCAGACAAATTCGCTACATATTTAATATCTCGTAAATTTATTCAAAATCCAAAGGGGATTTTGGCCCTAGTAGAAGGTGCTAAAGCTTTAGCTGATAGTAACGTATCCCCTGTATGTATTACACACGTAGGTTCTAATCAGATAACAATCGATAAAAACGATTTAAAAATACGAGTTTCCAATCTTTTTGGGAAGCCCGTGCATCCAGCTATAACATCTGTTGTGGCCCAATCAGCGACAAGAGTAAATGACGATGTTGTTGTCTTGTCAAAACAACAGTTCACTTCTACTTCAGATCCTACAATATTTTCTCTTTCCTTAAAATTAGAACCTGGAACATACAGGATAGGTTTAACTGCAGGATTGCAAACGGCATCTTTAACAGTTCACATTTTGGGGCCAGT